AAAAAAAAAAAAAAAAAAAAGAATTTTAAAGTCTGGGCAAAATTAGTTATAAAATAGTTAGGTACTTTTTATTTTGGCATCCAAAATCCAGAGAGAATTGGCCGTTAGTTTTGAGTTAGACATTTGTAGTGGAGTGTTACTGGAGTACATAAAGTAATTGAATATATGACATACTTTTGATTAACAGTCAGGGATTATTTTAGCTTACTTAATAATTATGGTAGATAATTTTTGAAATTACAAATAAAAGCCTCTGGAATAGCTCTGCTTTATTTGTCTGATCAGTTCTTCACTATTGGTTCAGTTATAGAAAATACGATTTTCCTAAGGATATATTAGGTCCTTTAAAAAAATACAAGATTGGGCATATTCAGGGTGGTATCAGCTCCCCATGATGAATATAATTATTATGTACTGCAAACATTTACTCATAAAAGTTTAAAAAAATACTCTTCAGATAATCATTTTGCAGGCAGAATTTATTGTTTTCCTCTTGGTTTTCATTGCTGGACACTACTATAAGTGTGTTACTCTTCAAACCTGTTCATGCTCCCGGTACGAGAGAAAAACCAAAAAAAAAAACAAACAAAAAAAAACCTGTTCATGCTACATTTTGTTACTACGTTGTCTCACATACAATGCTTCTGAATGTAAGATAATCTCTGCATTACTATGAGTGGCTTATGTTATTACATAGTGTCTTCAACCCCCTGTCCCTTAGAAAGATGTCACTGAATTACTGGTGTGTCTTAACATCAGTGGCATCTTCGAAATGAGTAAGTACTATAGAAACTCATGTTTCATTTTTTTACCTTTTTTCTTTGTGGAAATGTTAACAAATCATTTAGTATCTGTAGGACTCAATTTATTTGTAAAATGGGGATGGTACTAAATTAAGCTGCCTTAATTATCTCTCAGGATAGGTCTGGAACTGTATGAAATAACTTCTAGAGAGCACAAAGCTCTCTTAAAATTCAGATTCAGTATTTATATTAATAGAAGTAGTTTTGCAGAGTCCTAGGAAGGAGGTGTAAGGACCAATTTATTTTCTAATTTTAAATTGAAATTGAAAGACTATCTTTTTTTTCCTTTTCCCATACTGAGGATTAACCCCAGGGCTTTACACAAGCTAGGCAATTAACTTTACCACTGAGCTACATCTCTAGCCTCTGAGAGACATTTATTCAACTTTTTCTAAGATCATCGAATCATGTTGAAATAAGAGTGTAGTCACAGTCTCTGAAGCAAAGGTGGTTAAAGTAATATCTTTGCTTGTTTATACGAAGGTAATTTCCCATGTCTAAAAGGATGGATGCTTGCATTTTTTTTTTAGCTGAACAACTAGGGGCATTTGCAGCTGGAGCAAAGCAGATGTTGGAAGATGTACAAGAGCGGCTTGTGTATCGAACCCATATCTATATTCAGACAGACATCACAGGCTACAAACCAGCTCCCGGCGACCTAGCATATCCTGATAAGTTAGTCATGATGGAGGTAGGGTCTTCATATTTCATCTCCTTCTTACCCCTGTTACTCCTGTACAAATTTTGAGTATATTATATCAGCTAAAATAGGATTTTTCTTTTTAATTCTTGGTAAAAAAAATAGAATCAAAATAAATTCTTCATAAAAGTCATAGGATATAAAATTTTTAAAAACATTGAAGAGATTAATTTGTCTTTCAGTTATGGTTTTAAAACATTCTATTTAGTTCTCAGTCCTTGCTAGGAAGTATACATTCTTAATTTTTAAATTCAATTTATGCTTTGACTTCTCTTTTTTTTTTGTAAATGGCATAGGGCACGGCTTGAAGCTGGGTGTAGTGGCACTCTGGGAGAGGCTGAAGAAGAATTACAACTTTGAGCTTAGTCGATTTAGTGACTTGGTGAAATCCTGCCACAAAATAGAGGAGGGCTTGGAATGTAGATCAGTGTGAAGGCCTTGGGTTTCATCCCTAGTACTGCAAAAAAAAAGAAAAAATGTGGTGAGAGTTAGTAACACAGGAGCCACTGCAGTTGATGGTGGTTCTGTAACCCTGTGACATGCTGTCTCAGAACTCTGGAGGCTGTCTCCTCACAATTACACAGCATTGATACCCAGCTTTGGTTTGAAGGGTTATGTTATCTCATTGATCGTTCAGTTCCATACATTACTTTGTTTTCTTTGAATTTTGGAGAGAGGTTAAAGAATTCCTGGATAGTAGTATGACAGGACCTACAGCATTTTTGGGCATTTCACTGTGTTTGTCAGGCTAGCCTTGAACTCAAGATTCTGTCTTGGAGTCTTAAGTAGCAGAAATTACAGGTGTGTACCACCATGCCCAGCTAGCACTTTTTCAGTGGAAATTTTCAAATATAAGCAAAGGGTTAGTATAAAGAATACTTATATACAATTACTTCAGCCTCAATATGGCCAGTCTTGTTTACTTATACCTCCTTACTCTTTCTTATCCCATTAATTATCTTAGAGCAAGTTTCAAACATTAACATCTGTAAATACTTTAGTAGGTAACTCTGAAAGGTTGGGGTTTTTTATTTTTAATATAACTATAATTATCACACCTTAAAACATGACAGTTCCTTAATATCATCACATAGCCAGTTGAATCTATTCCTTTCGGATTCACCAGTGTTAATGTTTTGTCACACTTACCTCTTTGTGTTTATTTTGTTGCTGAATCAGTTGAGAGTAAGTTGAAGATACCTTGATACTTCACTCTAGTATATTTTAGTTTTTATTCTAAGAATAAATTTCCCACGTAGCCCAATATCATTTTTACATGTAATTTTTTTCTTTTTCTTTTTTTTTTTTTGAGGCAGGGTCTTATTGTGTAGTACAGGCTGGCCTTCAGCTTACTTATGTAGCCCAGGCTGGCCTGGAACTCCCAGTGATCTTCCTGCCTCACTCTGCTCAGTGCTGGGATTACAGACATATGTCACTATGCCTGGCTGCAGCTAATAAAATTAACATCAATTCAACAATATTTTTTACATACAGTCCTATTCAGATTTCAGTAGTTGTCCTTCATATGACTTTTTTGGGTGGGGGTGGGGGAATTACTGGGAATTGAAGTCAGGACTTCACACTGCCAGGCAGGTGCTGGGCCACTGAGCTATATGCCCAGTCCCACATGTCTTTTATAACTGGACCAAAAACTTTTAAAAGTCTGATCCAATCAAGTTTATTGTTACATTTAATTTTTATATCTCTTTAATCTCTGAGTCAAACTAAGACTCCTTCCTCCCGGTCTCCACTTTGTTTTTTGTTTTTATAATGTTGACTTTTTTGGAGAGACCAGGCTGGGTTTATTATAAAATGTTGCCACATTACAGATTTGATTGTACCCTGTTCCTTAGATTCAGGTTAATTTTTTTTTTTTTTTTTTGTAAAAGTACTAGATAGTTGATGTATACTTCTTACTTGATTACCTCAAAGGCGTATAATGTCAGGTTGTTCCACAAAAATTAAGGTAGTGATTATAAAAGTATATTTTTCCCTTTGTAATTAGTAAGTCCTTAAGTAGGATTGTGCTTTGATTTTGTATGAATTCCCCACCATCTTTTCAGCCAGTTCGTATTGCCAAATACTGCTGAAAACTGTACTTTAATGTTCCTTCTGATTTTTCTATGCAGCAAATTGCACAGAGTTTGAAAGATGACCAGAAGAAGTTACCTTCAGAAGCTTCATTTTCAGATGTTCAATTAGAAGAAGCAGAGTCTGATAGTCTAACAAAATCTGGTATGTTATGAGGTCTTTACTTCCAGCACTTACTCATTTCATATCTTTATTAAAGACTTGTGTCCAAGGCATGAAAGACAGCTTCTGCCTTTGAAGCCCACGCATGAGGGGAGATTGATAAACCTTAGGTGTGACCCAGTGGTGAGCGAGCTGCTGAGAGGAAGCACAGGGTGCTCTTGGACCATGGCGGATCTCCTAGGGCGTGGACACTGTGAAGGGAAGGCTCTCTGAGTGTGGGAATTGGGGTCCATGTGAGGCATGGCATCTGAAAGCTGGAGTGGGTAGGAGTGTGAGAGAATCAGATGAAGTGAGGTTGCTTTAGGTAGCTGGAGAAGCGTGCAGGAAGGCACATGGGAGTGGAAGACGATGGCTTCTTTGGAAAATGCTGTGGCTTTGTGTGTTTGGGCACAGGTAGGTATATGTGAGGAAGGCACAAGTGAGGCAGGCCAGATGGGGATCAATACTGTGTCATGATCTAAGGGCCTTTGAACTTTTAGCTAGTATATTGTATCAGGGTGATTATGCCATCAGATTTGCACTTTATAAATGTATTGAAGGCTGGGATGGAACTAAAACATTTTTGGCAGATAAATAGGATAGCTTGGACTTTTTAAGGAACAAAATTGTTCAAGAATCACTCATGGAAGTTGGGTGTGGTGGCACACACCTGTAATCCCAGCACTCAGGAGGCTGAGGCAGAAGGATCGCCATGAGTTTGAGGCCAGCCTGGACTACATAGAGAGTTCAGGGCAAGCCTGAACTACAAAGCTAGACCCTGTCTCAAAAATAAAAAAACAAAACAACATAAAAACCCCCAAACTCAAGAAACACTCATAGGTGGCCTAGATAACAAACTAAATGGTAGGTAAGGTGTCTCTGTTCCCCCAACTCTAAGGTGAGAGATACCACAACTCGGCTCCTCTTGGGTCTTACTATGACTTCATGAGCTTTAAAGAGCCCCAGCTTCCCCCAAACCCCTGGATTTATAGCACAATTAGGTAATCTGAGTCAGCTCTATAAACCGTAGGTACCCCAAATCCAGACTGCCAAGTAGCCATCTGACAGTCATTTTGTCACACTCTCCCTGTAGGAGGGAGACCCACAGTGGGTTTAAATTCCTTCCTCTGCAGTAGAATGTTTGCCATGTCCTAGTACACTGGTCCTAGCAAACCTCTTTAAGAGTTCATGGACAGATCAGAGTATATCCTGGTCTTGTGGACCTCACCTTTTATGTTTTCTCTTTCTCAAGTAAAGCCTATTCTTAACACTTGCTGGGCATTGCAATGAGGAAGAGTTGGGCAAACTGGAAAAATTGGTTAGGAGGCGGTTGTGTTTTTCCCTTTGAAAGGTACAGGTGGTGTGAACCAGGATGTTGAGAGGATGAAGTGTAGAGATGAAGCACAGCGTTAGAAATTTGGGTCAGCAGGATCTGGTCACACACTAAATGTGAGGGCCAAGGAAGAGTGAGTAAGGTCAGTGTGGGACAGCTGAGAGGATCTGTGTTGGATGGATTTAGAGCTGTGCTGTCCAGTGCGGTAGCTACCTGCAGCTGAGCGCGTGGCTGGTTGGTCTGAATGGGCGTTAGTGTGTAAAGTATGCCAGAAGTGTGAAGTCCACACCAGATTTCAAAGACATGCTATGAAATAAAGAACAGGGACTATTTTATTAGTAGTTTCTATATTGGTTACTTTTTTCCTGGTTCTCAGGTTATTTTGGAAATGAAAGAACGAGAGCCCTGTAAAAGGATGTTACGTGATGTGAGTTCTTTGTGTGGAGTGAAGTATCCCTGGCGGAGGGGCCATTTTGTGAAGGTTGTGATGCTTGAAAGCATCAAAAGCATCTGTAGAGAAGTGAGGGGAGGGAGGCCCTGAGGGTGGTGGAGGAGAAAGCACTGCGGCTCTGTTCTCCACAAGGGGCAGCAGGAGACACATGGGTTTGATGGTGTGCTGGGGAAATAAACTTTCCTGTCAGCAGTTAAACTGGGCAGTGAAAACATGAGCTAACAAGTTGACTTCTAGCTTCAAAGCTTTCAAACATTTTTTATTTTTCATTAAATGTTGTTGGGAGTACTTTTTTTTATTTCAAAGGAAACATTCTGCAGATAACAAAATTTTTAGCAAGACTAGATGCTTAATGTAAATATTCTTTGATATAATTTGTTTTATATTTTTAAGAGACTTTATATAGAGAATAAATCTTAAAGTGAGGTTTTATGGAAGAGATTTAAAAATTACTCAATACCGATAAAATAGCTTATAAAACTCTAATGTGAAAGCACTAATTCACAACATTTTCCTCATTTCTTTCCCCTGATACTATGCCATATGGCCTCCAAGCCTTCTTTTAAGCATACAAATCTAGAACTTATTTTAAAAAGGAGCTATTTGTTTTGTAACTTATTACTGGTATATCATGGAAAATTTTAGTTCTTTTTTTTATTGAAGAAATTGCAAATATATAGACAAGTGAAAAGAAGGACAAAAAGAAAAATGACCATCTCTGCCTAACTATGTGGACTCAGGACCTCAGTATTTTATCCTATTATACACAATGTCACTTTCTCATTGCGGGGACAAAATACCTACCTAGCGCGTGCAACCTAAAGAAGTTGAGGTTTACTCTGGCTCATGTGCTCTGTCCATGGTCCGCTGGGCAAGGCAGAAACTTGGTGGAAGGGTGCAGACAGCTGCCTGTCCCACGGCGTCCAGGAAGCAAGAAGAGAAGGGAGGAGCCGAGGAGAGAGAAGTGCCTTCAGATCATGCCTCATGTGACCCACCTCTTCTGACCACGTTGCACTTCCTGACAGCATGTTCACCTGCTGTACTCAGCAATAGATAATCCACTGATGAATCTAGTGTCCGCGTGATCCATTCACCTTACCGCATACATGAGACTTTCAGGGGAACATTCTAGATCTAAACCATAGTGTGTGTACACACACAGACACACACATACACACTTTTTAACCAATCATTTTAAAGTGAATTATTGATATAATTGACACTTCAGCTTTGACTAGTTCAGCATCTCTCCAAAAATGACATCTTACATAACCATAAATTGTTTCTGCACTAAAAGTTTAATGAAGTTTCTTAATGTTCTCTAATACTCAATCCATATTTCAGTTTTACCTCTTGTACCAGAGATTTATACCAGGTCCATTTTTGTGGTTAATTTGCCACCTGGTCGTAGATGTCTGTGATTGTCCTTCCTTTACAAAGGTGGCTGTTCCGTGGTGCCCCCTACCTGCTGTTCCTCACGTTCAGCAGTGGCTGCCTTTTGACTGTTCAGGGCTTGGGGAGCCAGCTCTTTTCACTTGTGACTTGAGTGTGCTAAGTAAGCCTGTCCATGATACAACTCAGCATGGAAGGGGACAAGCCAGCTTTGGTTAATCTTCCCATTAAACATTGCTTTGTTTTCTTGTCCCTCCCTACCTCCATTGCCTCCCATTTGCTTCCACCTGACTACATACAGTTCTGTCTCCTCGAATCTTTGAGTCTGCTGTTCATTTCATAAAGATTGTTGACCCTAGTTTGGGAAAAGCAGTTTGGGTTGAACATGTATATAAGGCTGGAATGTATATGTGTTCTTACTTGCGTTAAATCTCACCTTAGCTTTCTAAGGGTATTCTTGATTAAAGATAAGATTAGAAAAAATTGGTGTCGTATTTATAGTTAATGAGAAAATACAGTTTATAGCTACCATATAATTTTTTAAAGATGGATATCCACATGCCTGAAGTGTGCAATCTTTTTCATTTGAGTTTTAGGTTCGACAGAATCCCTCAATCCTAGACCACAAGCCACAATTTCTCCAGCAGATCTTCATGGAATGTGGTACCCTACAGTTCGAAGAACTCTTGTCTGTCTCTCCAAATTATACAGATGCATAGATGTATGTGTAAATTCTTATATCTTTACTGTGAATTGCTTACTCTTTCACTTGGAATGTATATTTTTTTTATTTTAAAGAGAAAAGAACAAAAAACCATAAAAATAATAGAGAATTCCAAAAGAAAGATGATAGGAAATCAACAATGGTTGTTATGTTATATATTGTTATCTTCAAAGAAGTTGCTCACATTATCAGATATAGGCATGCAATATTAATCAATTAAACATTAATTGGTCCTTTTTTTTTAATTGGTCCTTTCAATAAATCATTAGAAATTAGTAGAATTGTCCTAGCTATCTTGTATGTATGTATGTGTGTGTGTGTATACACATTTTTTTTTCCACTTTCTTTTTCCTTTTCTCCTTTCCCTCATCCCAGTTGTTCTTTCCTTTTGAGCAGTTTCTTTAACTCAGAATATGTTTAAAGTTTATTTTAAGATGTTGATATAGTATTTTGCTTGATATTGTTAGAATCATGGTTGCTAGGTATGGAGGTAACTTGAAGGTCAAGCTTCTTAAGGATTCCTAAACTGAGCATTCCATAGACTCTTGGAATTCATTAAGGGGCTTTGGAGGGTCTCTGGACACTTTGAAATGGTGGCACATTCTGTATATAACTTGTATTGTGCCTTTCTAAGGAGAAGAACTTCAGCTTTCATTACTTCTCAAAGGAGTCTGTGACCACAAATAAGTTTAAAACAATTGATTAATTTGTCTGCTGCCTTAGTTTGTAGAGGAGAAGAGATGCAGGAAGAGATGTGACACTTAGATGTCACATAGATATAATTTACATTTAGTATTAAATGCTGTAATCTAGCTTTGCACTCAATTTGAATCCACATCCTCAACAAGCAGTGTTAAGATAACGTGTTTCTAGTCTTGGAGTAAGTTTAGTTTGCTGAAGTTAGCAGTACTTGTTTTTCAGGACCAATTTAGACTGGATTGATCTCAGGGAACTGTTATTTTAAACACTCTGGCTTAGTGATCCAGTTGTCATTCCCCTGTAATAGCACATTTGTTTACAAACTTATCATCACTGGTTTGATTCCAAACCAAAATAGTTACAAAACTTGGTCAGTTTAGTTCATTCTTTCCAACTGCACAGAGAAATAGAGAGGGAAATGATTAAATATAGCACTCATGTAATGACTTATCCACCTACCAGTTTTTGAGAGTATAGTTTAAAAGGAATATGGTTGCCTTCGTACCACATACTGGTATTCCATACTGCAGAGTCCTAGGACCCAAGAAGATTACAGTTTTGTAGTTTCAATCATGTCCAAACTATTCCAATTTATACTGCATAGTTGATGAGCTCTTTTTGAGAAGTTTGGACATTTGGCATTTCTTCCTTCCCAGGTTCCCCACTGGGTATATTAAAGAGTAGCATACTAGGATTCAGAAATTTCCTGCAGTAGAGCCAGAATCCCAAGGAAAATGTGCAGGAGGCATATTCCACTGAACACCCTTTGTTCCAATAGACCTTAGTGAAGGAAGCCTCTGAGGGAGCTTTAACAGGACTTTCGCAAAGTAGTAAGTAGGCTGCAGGGGTCATTCTGCCTGTTTTTGTTTTGTGCCTCGGGCTTGTTCTTTTTTCACCTAGCTGTCTTTCAAGTCTTAAAGGTTCATGTGTACGGCTCTTCATTATGGTTTTATTTAAAACAGAAAAAAGCTGAAATTATATAAAGATTTCAGGGGGTTGACAAGATACTAGTAAACTAAATTTCTAGGAAATATTAGTAAACCTTTTTCAGTCTTACTGATCAAAGGTAAAGAAAGTCGAATCCAATGAAAAACACCGGTAAGACTGAGCTGGGGAGGAAGATGGTCTTGGTCTGAGCTGCCCATCTTTAACCTTCCTGGACAAGATCAGTGGGAGGTAACTCTAACCCCCTTCAGATAGTAGCTTTGACATAGGGGAGAGAACACAAAGAGTAAGATCAAGCAGGAGACCAGCGCCAGGACTGCAGCCTGGCAGTAAATGTCTTGCTTATTTCCACCCATGTCGCAGGTGGAGTGAGGGCAGGAGGGGAGCAGAGGGACCGGTGGGAGTCTCTGCCCCGTGAACGTGTCATGCCTCTGGATGACGCCGAAGTGGCAAGATGGGGATTCATACTTCATGTACCATTTTGTAACTTTTTTCTATTGATGATATTTTCTATTACTTTATAATATGTAACTTCTTACAAGTATCTCACTGCCTCCTTCAGCATTCTTGTATTCATGCACAGTATTTGGTAATTTAGTTTACTAGTATTTTGTCAGCCCCCCATCATCGAATACACATTTTTCTGTTTTAAGTAAAACCATAGTGAAGAGCCCGTTACATGAACCCTGAAGTGCCTTAATAAGTACTTATCTGGGTTAAATTTTTATAAAAGGATTTTCTGAGGGTTTTACAGCTTTAGAGCTTTATTTATTTATTTTTAGAGCTTTAAAACACAGCCCGACAACATGACATCAGGCTAGGGTGAGGGCTGCATGAGGTCAGAACTCTGTGCCTCTTGGCCCCTGTATTTTGCAGCATCTAATGCAGTGCCCAGCATGCAGTAGTGCTGGTGCATATGTACTGAAGGGGCACACAGGAATTTGCAGACATGAATGTGTCTGTGTTGGTTTAGAAAGATTGGAGGGGAATAAAGAGCTCCAGGAGGATGGTACAGTAATAGGTAACCCTATGATGAAGGCAAGTAAGCAGTATTAGCACAGCTTGGCCTCTTTGTTTTTTTGATGTGCCACAGGTTGATTTTCTCTTTTATTCCACCAGAGGGCCGTGTTCCAAGGGTTATCACAGGAAGCATTGTCAGCCTGCATTCAGTCCTTACTTGGAGCATCAGAGTCTATCAGCAAAAACAAGGTGTGATGAAGTGTTAGGTGAAATTTCAATGCCTATAATAATATTGTGTAATATAGTACTCACTACAGGTACAAAAATGTAAGGCCGTTTTGGCAGTAAGGTTTATTTTTGATTGTATTTTGAGGCCCTTTGAGAGAATCTGGTATTTCACTGTAGTCCTTAATAGAGATAGCACTGAGAAAGGCAGATTACTAAAATACCAAAAGTAAATTTTATAGAGTTAAAGTTCCTTGTCATTGCTTTATCAGCTGAGGAAATGATACTGCTCTTGCCCTGGAACACCAAGAAAGCATTTTCAAGGAAACTTAGCCATATAATCATTCCTACAAGGTTGTTTTAAGTAGTGTCATGGCCTCATCTGAATTAAATCAGCCCATTCGTTTTGAAGAGACGGTTGTGGCCCTTGGATTGTATGATAAGAAGTAATTGCCATGCCAACATGTTTTAAAATTTTTAATCAGGATGAGACCTGGGAGAGGCTACTGGTATGACTTTCTCCCATGCTCCTAGGATTCTTTTTGTTTTAATTAGGGTGGTCAATAGTATTGCTTTGCTTAATTCCCTGTTAAAATGCCTGTTTCCTGCAGGAAGGGAGCTATAGAAACTATTTTCACCCAAAATTTTATTCCTACTCAAAGTATTCAAAGTCAGTGACTTCTGGGTTTCTAAAGTTGATTTCTAATTTAAAGGCTTTAGATATTTTTCAAAATAAAAAGTCTTTCCATAAAAGAATTTAGTATCTTGTTGCCAAAAAAACTCTACCTTTGTGACCTCCCATTAATGGAACAGAGAGTTGAAATTTATTGACTAAAAGATGATAGAAAATAAAGTTATAGATAGGTGGTTTTAAGTTTTAAGTATATTGACAAGCCTGACCTCTTGCATTTATTATAATAGTTGAAATTAAGAACTGTGTCTTAACATTAGAGAAATAGTTAAGTAAATTGGGGCATATCCCATATGGTAGAATATTTTATTACATTAAAAAAAATGAGACAACATTTAACTTTGATAAGGCAAAAAAAAAGATATGTCCGATACACAGTATGACTTATGTAATAAAAAATGCATTGAAGCAAATTCGGGACTGTGAAAGCTTTGGGTGACTTTTGCTTCATTCCCTACACATTTCTTTATTTTCAAGATTTTCGACAGTGAAGAGTGACTTAATTTAAAAACTTTATGTGATTATGTCCTTTTGTCCTCTATTTTAAGCCTTTTGATTATCCAGTCTTCTGTCCTGATTATCCATAGGCCATCTCTTTTATCTAATTCTATTTGCTACATATTACAAGGAATGAAAGTACATGTGGAAGTCCTTGGTTTGGTAAGCACTAGCTTAGTTAGTTGAAAATGCTTTCTTGGCTTTCCAGGATAAGAGCAGTATCAACAAACTCATTGTTGAGTTTATGTACTTCTGCCTTTTAACTTTTAAAAAGTGACTAATAAGCAAAAGTGACTAATAAAAAAAAGACTAAAGAAAATGGCTTAATGTCTTAGAGCATTTTTCTAGTTTAAGGGAAGAAATTATTCTAACATAGTTAAATTGAGCTGCTAGTCTTCCACTAAATTAGCATAATACAATCTACTGGGTTAAAACAACTTTAATAAAATAAATCTACATGATGCTATTTTTGACATCAGAGTTCTTTTAAAAACAGAGCAAGCACTAAGATGTGTGTAGCATTTTGTACTTTCTTGATGCTCTGTGTTCCAGAGTGTACAGTTGAATTTCCATTATAAAAGTCTTACTTATACTGATTATGTTTATTAGAAGTAAAAGGTGAGAGAAGTGGTCCTTTGTTTAAAAACCCCTTTGAAATTTGTGTTGCGTACTGAAGAATAGCTATCTTTTTCTAATGTCATATAAAAATTACATTAGAAATATTCTCAGAATAAGATTAAATCTTGAGATTAAATCTTCTCAAGAAGGAGCAAATAACAGCCCTGCATTTGTAAGTATACAGACTCCTGTAGAAACTATGACTACTTAGTTAGATAAGGTTGGCTTTGAGAACTAAGCTCACCAATCACATGTCTCTTGTAGATGATAGGGTCCAAGAGGGCAAAAGGACACCCAGGACTCAGGGATGTAGGCAGTCTCTCCTCTATTTATAATCCAGAATGGTGACCCCCAAACCATTTTACATTTGGAGGTTCCTTTTGTACTTTTGTGTAAATAGGAGTCTGATGTTCTGGTTATTGAAATCACTTTGACCAAATAGTGAAAGCTGTATTTCTGAAGAGAAAGTAACAAGCCATGAGAGGGCAAAATTATGTTCATGTTGGGAGCTTTTGTGTACCTTCTGCTCTATATTGTTAGTTTGCGGCATCTTTTCTACTTTTGCAGCAAGTTAAAATCAGTTTGACTTCTCTTCTGACAGCCTTTTTGTCTGATGTACTTTTTTGGATTTTCTAAGTAGAGCAAGTAATAGTTAAGCAAGATTCCCCCCCCCCCCCCATAATTCTAACATGGGTGATATGGGGAGAGTTCATTGCACAGCAAGAGTGTTGGCATGATAAAGTGTAAGTTTAGATAGATTAATGTTGACTAATATGTGTTTTATATGCTCCTGTTTTGATTTAATCTGTGGTAATATCATTTCTCTGTTTTACAATTTAGACTCAGATTGATGGACAGCTTTTCTTAATTAAGCACCTTCTGATTCTTCGTGAACAAATTGCTCCATTTCACACTGAATTCACCATTAAGGAAATTTCCCTGGACCTCAAGAAAACTAGAGGTACTTTCTTGTCCTGGCTGGCACATTTGGGTGTGTTTGACTTGTCCAAATGTGTCAGCACAGGTTGTAGGTTTATTTTATGTTCATCTGCAATGTTTTTGCATGCTTTGCTTACTAAATATGTTACTTGTTCATACTAAGCTGAGCTGTCAGTATACTAATTACTTCTAACTTGCTATGTTTTCTTTATGAAGAGAACTGTGTTATTGTTGTTTTTGAGAAAGGGTCTCACTGTATAGTTGAGGCTGGCCTTGAACTCACTATGTAGCCCAGGTTGGCCTTTTACTCCTATTAATCATCCTGCCTGAGCTTCCTGAGTGCTGGGGAAGAGAATTGTACTGTATTGAGCCTTTTAATTTGTAATATAGTATTAACTCTCTTGGATTCTACCACATGTTACCATAAGCAGTTACAAAATGAAAAATCAATATAATAGCTACTTAGTACTAAGTAGTGTATGTCAGTGAATTCGTATGATTTTAAATACTGAGTTGAATTTGTCAGTTTATGAATGTTTGGGAATCCAAAGTAGATTGGGAGGAGTACTCACCTAAGATCTGAGAGTTGGATTTTGTTTCTGTCCCACTGTTTCCTGGCTTGTGTCAGAGTTTAATGGGTGTTTCAGCTTCCCTACTGAACCTTTCTTCTACGTAAAATGAGCTGTTGGACTTGCTGGAACACCTTCACAGGTTACTTCATTAGGAGTGAAAATACCTGTTAAAATGCTTTGTAAGTTTCAGTTGCTTAAATAAACTTAAGTTGTGTTAATGTTAAATTGGCTGGTTAACAAATCATATAGATAGGGTCTTTAAATTGGTAATAAATACTGACTTACCTTGGGAAGGATAATTCAGCAATTCTAATGATTTGTCTCTGAGTTAACAGGAGATTGTTAAGAGATCAAAGTAGTTACTTTTTAAGCTGTTGATTGTAACCAATTAAAAATATACATAAAAACCACTTATTTAAAAATCACTTATTTGCCTTACTTAGAAATTTTTGTAAACTTCTGTCTTTCCCTAATTACTTCCAAGAGATTTAAGCTCTTATGCCTTAGGCCATCCATTGATGTAATGAATTCACTTCTCTCTTATTTATTGGGGTAATTGAGAACAGTCACTGAAATTACTTTCTGTGTTCTGTGATTCAGAGCAATGCCAAATACAGAATGTCCAAAGGTAGCAGGTTGTTAGTGCCCTCACCACTTTGCTCATGGGCTTGCTTTGACTGGCTGAGACTCACGGTGGCCTTCTGAGAGTCATATTAAACAGTTCTTTCCCCCCCTATGGCTCTCTCTTGTTCATTTCAAAAAATATTGATTTTTTAGATCTTGTGTGTGTTATTTGTGTACTTTGTCATTTTTTAAAAAAAAAAAAAACAGAAGCCAGATTTCCCAGCTTTTGCCTTTATAGAATGCTTGCTTTCTTTTTTGTTTTTGGGGGTGGTACTGAGGATTAAACGCAGAGCCTTTGCGCTGAGCTACATTCCCTGCCCTTTTTATTTTTATTATGAGACAGAGTCTAACGAAGTTGCCCAGCCTGGCCTTCAACTTGTGATCCTCCTGCTTCAGCCACCTGAGCTGCTGAACAAAGCATAATTTTTAAAGAGCATCATCTCATCAGAGTTGCTGTCTCCCAGCTATTCCCCTTGATTTCTTTCTTTATTTTTAGTACGAGGTGTAGGAACAGTGGCTGTCTTATTCTGGACTGCTGATTGATAGTCCTTTATTTAAGTGGTGGATAGAGCAGGGTTGAGCATAAGATTTTGACAAAATTTGTTTTATAGTATATTTTCTCCCAAATATTATGATGCTTATGTAATCCATCCAGATGGTGATTTGAATCTTTTTATTGCAGATAGAATCTTTCAGGCATTTCATAGAAAAGATATAGTGGACACAGAGTTTCATTAGAGCTTTACTTTGAATATTGAGTCTGATAGAGAAGCTCTTTTTCATTAATGCTGGGGCTGAGGTGGTATTATTGTAGCGTGTGTGTGCAAAACCAGGATTAGAAATCTTCCACGCTTTGCTTTCTCTAGTGTGGCAAAGCAAAGCAAAGAAATGATCTTTTTTAAACTCTCACTTAATACTTGCTACTTTCACTTTTAAGCCTTTTAACCTCTTACAACTAATATTTTATCATATTGCATTTGAACATCAATGAAACCTCAGTTAGTATTTTGCATAGATTCTAGTTAGTCTGGAGGTTAAGGGATAAATATGTCCTCTTGGTGTTTTCTTCCTGGCTGACACATTAGTTTATTCACTCTGCTTTAAGTGAATAAATTTTTATGCCAGCTAGGATCTTAACAAAAAAGCAGGGTAAGTATATAAATATTTTCTTAAAATCTGCTTAACATCCTAAAAGTAAAGTACTGAAATTTTACAATATTGAGTACCATTTATTAATTTTCTTCTTTTCTGTAAGTGGATTGTTGAGATTAGTAGTCATTTTGCAGTTCTGACCTCCAGAAAGTACCTGTGCTGCAGCCATCACTGGCACTCGTGTCACCCTCAGCCATTTATGAAGCTGAGCTGGTGGAGATGCGTGCCTCTGGCCTGGGGCAGTAGTGAGCTAGTGTTTGTTACACAAGAGTTCTCTGTTGAAACTGTACATGTTCACTGGATGAGTAATTTTGTTTCACAGATGCAGCATTTAAAATCCTGAACCCTATGACTGTTCCAAGATTTTTTAGGCTGAATAGCAACAATGCCTTGATAGAGTTCTTGTTGGAGGTGAGAAGGAGTCTGTTTCATTGGTGGTGGGAACTAAACAACATTCTTTACATGTCTGGTAATTTCTAGGCACATAAAAACAGGAGGAAATTGTTATCTTCTCTTTAAGGGTACTCCTGAGATAAGAGAACATTATCTCGACTCTAAGAAAGACGTAGACCGGCATCTGAAATCAGCCTGTGAGCAGTTTATTCAGCAGCAGAGCAAGCTGTTTGTAGAGCAGCTGGAGGAGTTCATGACAAAGGTATAGACCATGATGCCTGCTTGGTACAGTCATTTTGCATTCTTCCCTGGCTTGAATCACCCTCTAGGGGAAACTTGAGCAGAAGGGGACAGTTAGCCAAATCGTAATGATCCTAAGAAATCACTGAGTTTCCTATCACAGAAGCTTTTGTTTTGCAGATATGTAGATATGCTTAGATATGCTAGTTTTTTGAAGTGGAAGAGTACAAATACTGCAAAGCTGTTATAACTGACCTCTGGTTAGCTGTGTTTTGTTCTCCATGTTGCGAGTTCCTGCATTTGGGCTGGGTGTCTCCCACTCACCATCTCCTGGAACCTCACTTTCTCCTAGACCTGTACCATGCCAGCCATTCTTGTGTACCAGGAAGCTGTGTATGGGGAGCATGTTCAGGTTATTAGGAGATGGGGCTTTGAGACTGACAGTGTAGATGTGATTCTGATTCCCTGTCATTCACCCTTTATTGGTCCTTTGTTTATCTGTCCCCTTTCTGGGCTCCCTGTTGAGATGCTTCATTTTCTTTAATTCTTACCTCATTCCTTCCCCCAGAAAAATGCATCTCCATTTCTTAGACTGAGAAATGAAAGTTCTGCAGTGACTAAGTGTACATGAAGTAAAATTTTTACATCATTATTATTTGGTTCCTTTGTGATTTTTGATACAATTAATAGTCTTTCCTGAAAAAAAAAACAAAATAAGGCTTTTTTTTTTGGTACCAGGAATCGAGCTCTGGACCTTGCACTTGCTATAAGCAAGGCACTGTGCCACTGAGCTATATCCCCAGCCTCCAAAAAACAAAATAAGAACAATAATTTCCTGCCCCTGGTAAAATAGCCTTTTCCAAGTATCTGAACAGCCTGAGGGAGTGTAGTATGATTCTGAGTGTTGGGAGTAGAGGTATTTATGAAAACATTTAAGTCAAATTATTTTCCTTGGAACTTTAAAAACTATTGATACATTGTTTTAGAACTCCATCCTATTGAATATTGCTTGACACTCTTTTAAGTATGGCTTGCAATAGCAATAAAGCTTAGAGCTTGGAATCAGGAAAATGTGGTCATAGACTCCTGCTGCCACCTTCTCAGTGACATGAGGCAAGTCATCTCAAAGCCTTGGTGGGGTAGCTATAGCATCTCTCCCTACCTGAGGTTGTGATGAGGTTCAGCTAGTATTATATGTGTAAAAAGCTTTAATTGTAAAATGCTGCAGAAATGTTATAGTAAAATAGACAAATTTGAGGTGAAGATTTTGCTTTAGCAAAAAGAGTTTAAAACATTTTAAAGGAAGTATTATTTCAGTTTTATAACTAAGCTGAAATTTATGTCTTTCTGGTGAGACCAGTTTATGCTAAAAACTCAGACTTACATGTAAAATATACTCATTTTCCTTTAAGCAGTTAGGTATGTATTGCAAATTTATTTTTAATATTCCCTCTGAAATGTTATTAATTTCCTCAGTAACACTATAAGTTTTTCTTGATGTAGGGCACATAGTAGAATTTGACCTATAAATTTAATTTCCGTTCTCAAGGAGCCATAGCCTAGTGGGAAATCAAGATAGGAAGACCACATAAACATTAACATACACAGAACACTGCTGTCCGAAAACACTGGGTCTTTGTTCATCCCTGAAGCTTTAAAAAAGATGGGACTAATTAGGGAAAATCTTTTTCCCCCTGAGAACTGCCGTTTCTTCCTTGTCTTATCTCTACAAATCTGTGAAAACTATGAAGAAAATATTCCTTGAGGTTTGACTTGAAGATTATCTAGATAGAAAAACATAAATATACAAAGCTGTATGTTTTGCAAATAAACTCTCTAAGTATGTGTCATGATGAAATTGGTTAAATTCTGGAACAATATTAGGTAACTGTTAAAACTGATAGGCCTAGGAAAATGTTCAGAATATAAAATGGGAAAATAGTTTGTAGAACAGTGTTCTCATTTCTATAAATGTATATATGTGAGTATATTTAGTTTTTATACTGTAAACTATTTGGGATAATAGAAAGTGAATATGTTTTTCTTTCAGCAATTTTCTAATTAATCTCTAATCATATGTGTATTTTCCTTTTTAAAACTGCATCTCACAATGAAAAATAAATATAAGCTAGGCATGGTGGCTTACACCTATAATCCCAGCGCTCAGGAGGTTTGAGGCAGGAGAACTGCTGTGAGTTTGAGGCCAGCTTGGGTTACATAGTGAGTTCAAAGCTGTGTTCAACTACATAGTGAGAGCCTGTCTCAAAAAAAAAAGATATAAAGAAGAATTGAATGAGGTCTGTGATTGCACTTTGAGTGGCCCAGGTCTGGCTCCTGTGCACATCCTGAACTGACTAAGAAGCAGAACCAGGCGGGCTGCAACCTGCTCCCACCACCATGGTTCCCAGCTGAAACTCACGGAGAGAGCCACCTATTTCCCATCTACTTCCTGGGAGCAGAGCAGGTGACCCAGGACCCCGCCGCCATTACAGTCTGAGTCTCTGCCTTCCATGCATCCATGGCAGACAGGAATTCTTCACTCAGAAGCCCCAGGGATTGCTCTCACCGTGGTTCGCGTGTGGGCCCTCCCTGCACGGGCCCTGTGTGGAGTGAGCGGGTGCTCCAAGAACTGCTGGTCCCACAGTATGAGTCTGTGCTTTACTTGCGCCCAGACCCCCTGGGGCATTGCAGGCATGGGCAGTCTGAGATTGCTGCCCATCCGGCTTGCATCTGGTTCCTTTATGTGTCCTGAACTGACTGGACACACAGAATCAGGTGGTTCACAAACTGTCGACCCTGCAGTTTGTGTCTGGGTATTGCCTGTACCATGAACTGTCCGGGGACACAGGTCCTCTGGACCGGGATTGTCAAACCAGTGCAACCCAAATCTGGCCCGTGCACATGGCCTAAACTGTAAGGGGACACTGGATGAGATAGTCTGCCATCAGATGACACCAATGCCGATGTATGAGACCGTGGATAACTAGATACAAATCAGCAACTGCTGGAAAACCCCAGACTAAGTAGTGCTTCTCGGCAGACACTGAGGGACAAACCTGACCAAGAGGAAAGCTAGGGACACTAGCGGCCTTTGCTGTGCAGCCACTGAAGAGGGAAACTGAGCTTTCTGCATCCGGTGTCAAACATGACAAAATGAAGGACTAAAACATAATCCCAGAACTCCACCGCACTCAGAACAAGTCCAGGAGACATTGACATAGGAGAACTTGGTAAACACATGCCTGAAATAGCTGAAATGATTGCAATGGAAGTAAAGAAACAACTCCATAAGGCCATAGAAGAGATGAGATCAGAAATAATCTCTCAGGCAAAAAATGAAACGACAATAATAATGAAAGAAATGCTCAAAATGTCTGAAGAAGAAACACATAAGAAAATAGAAGAACAAAGGCAATGGATGGAAGCATTAAATGGAAAATACAGAAAGGACTTAGAACACATAAACCAGATTCAAAGAGACTTCCAGGAAAACAAAGCTTCCATTGAAAGCTGCCAAAACAGTTTGAATGAAGCTGAAGATAGAATGTCAGACTTTGAAGACAGCATGGCAGCTAGCAACCGTGAAAGAAAGGATCTCATAAAATCAACAAGGATCCATGAAAAGTCAATTCAGCAGCTGCAAGATGAGGCAAAGAGGAATAATGTATGACTGATCAGAGTCAATGAAATAGAAGGAGGCAACACAACTGACATGAAAAGAATATTTGCAGAAATAATAGCAGGAAATTTCCTAAGTATGGAAACAGAACCTGATATACAAGTAAATGAGGCATATAGAACTCCAACCAACAACAACCAAAATAAACTACACCGAGACATATAATAGTCGTTTCCAGATCTCCAGCAAAAGAACAGAATATTAAAAGCTGCTAGAGAAAAGAAACAGATTACCTATAAGGGAAAGCCCATCAGAATCACAGCAGACTTCTCAGCACAAACCATCCAATCAAGAAGAGCTTGGAGCGAAGTATTACAGGTCCTGAGACAGAAGAGCTTCCAACCAAGACTGATGCACCCTGCCAAACTATCTCTCAAATTCAATGGAGAAATAAAATATTTCCATGACAAAGAATAATTGAAGAACTTCATGAGTGCCAAACCAGCATTACAGAGAGTACTAAAAGATATTCTAGACAGAAAAATCTGACTGAAATTTCCAGAACAACAGTAGAAAGGAAACGTCAAGAAGAGCAAGCAAGTAAACAGGTAGAAAAAGTAGGAAGCCAGTGCAAGTAAATGACACGACAATGATAAATCAACAATATCAGTTATAACGATAAATGTAAATGGCCTCAATTCTCCAGTCAAAAGAAACAGACTGGCAGAGTGGATTAAAAAACAAAATCTAACGATATGCTGTATACAGGAAACATATTTTACTCAAAAGGAAATCCATAGACTAACAGTCAAAGGATGGAAAACAATCCTCCATGCAACAGGAACCCAGAAAAAACCAGGTGTAGCTATTTCTGTTTGCAGACAATGTAAACTTCAAATCGACAACAATGAAAAGAGATAAAGAAGGTCACTACATACTTCTCAGGGGAAAACTGCAAGAGGATGAGATAACAGTCATAAACATGTATGCACCAAATATCGGACCTCCAAATTATATGAGACAAATCTGAACAGGCATGAAAACCCATATAATTAAGAACACTGTTGTAACAGGGGACCTCAACACCCCATTGACACAAAGAGAT